TTAAAAGGGAAATATCTTAATGCAGAAAATACTTCAAGACTGCATTTTTCAATGAGATTTCCCATTTACTCGGCTTCTTGGGGGAAGGAGAGGGGATAAATACAGCGGGTAGCCCAGAAAAGTCCTGTGTCTGAGCACAGAATCGAATCTGATAATTTTCCAGTGCTTATCCTCATGACACACACTTCAAGTTTCATGTGACCCCTTTCAATAAAGGACTTTGCTATTCCAGTTTTGATGGCATTGCCTACAGTTCAGGCCTTTTGTGCATTGTCAAACCCAGGTCTCCCTGTAGCCTTCTGTTGTGACTAATGGGTGTGTAGCTTTAAATCCAGTCATTTGAAGCCCATGGAGGACAATTCTAAATGATGATTTACACTCTAGAACTCTGTATTGAATAATCTGAGTCTTGTGTCGTGCTTTTTCCCTGTCCCAATGTGTCCCACTATCCCTTCATTTGTACAAATGATGGCCTGAAGTTTCTGCTCACACCAAACTCCGAGTTTCTTTTCCACAGTATTCAATGGCGTCAGTCATCAACTTTTCCTGAAATGAGCCAGTAGTCTATTATGCATTCATTTCTTTATACTGTTTTATTAAATCTCCTCAGCAATTCAGAAGATCCTTTTTTTTCTCTCTTAAATAACACTAACCATTAGGTAATCATTGTGTATGGTTTTTTTTTGTTGTTGTTGTTGCTGTATTGTTTTGTGTTTTGGAGACAAAATATTTCTATGTAGTCCTGGATATCCTGGAGCTTGCTATGTAGACCAGGCTGACCTCAGACTTATGGAGATCTACTTGCCCCTGCCTATCTCTGCTTCCTGAATTCTGGAATCAAAGGCATGCATCACCATTCCCACCTATGATATGTTTAATACATTTACAGATGATATCAAGTGTGCAAGTGCATAGCATATGTTGTGTTCAAAATCTCAAAGTGAAGCTATTAACTGAATTTATCAAATAGAATTCTGAAAATATTAGTATTGACTTCATAAAATTGTCTTCAGTGGGGAGGAGAATGTAATATTAGTATAAACTAGATTACAGCACATGGTTTGCTTATTAAATAACCACACAAAACAACATCAAAACTCAATGAAATAATAAGTGTGTGAAACTGAAAGAGAAAAATAAATGGCAGGTGAATACTTCCTGGAAGACGTATTCAAGACAAGATAGAACATTAAAAAGGGGCTACAAAATGAAAGTATAATTAAGCAAGCACCTAACTATGAAATAGAGTTTCTTATTCCTGCTTCCATCATGTGTGTCTTTGGAAAATGTACCTAGTCTATTTAGCTAAGAAGGGAAAATGTAAAATGGGAATAATTAAAAATATTATTCTGCATAGGGTTGTGGAGAGAATTACATAGGGTAATATTTGTGAAGGGTTCAGGACTTGGCTTTGGGTGCTAAGTGTAGGGCTTAGTAAACGTTATTTGCCATGAATATCACCAGAGGGATCTCAAATTTATACTCAGCAACTTTATTCCTTTCCATATACAAAGAATGCTAACATGCTAAACACTGCATATGTCCACCTGTTTGATATTGTATGTACTTTGCTTTCAAACATCCATGTCTAATTTTTTAAATAATTTGTAAACTATAACAGAATGGTCAGCTTTTATATGACACACACGTGCACTGACACAAATAATTTTCTGAAGGTTGCTTTTATGTTGATGACATAGTGTAAGTAGAAGTGAAATTTTTCAAGAAAAATATCCACATCACAGTAGGATGTGAAAGCAGAAACATGCAGTGTATGGGCTGCATCCCTTTTCTCAGTGTCAGGGGCAGAGCCTGCTGGGCAAGCACTCAACCACCAAACCACACTGCTCCAGCCCTTTGAGACCCAGACCTATTCCTGAGCAGAAGATGTTTACTGGGATAGCATTTATAGACAGATATGGCCACCGAACCACACTGCTCCAGCCCTTTGAGACCCAGACCTATTCCTGAGCAGAAGATGTTTACTGGGATAGCATTTATAGACAGATATGGCCACCGAACCACACTGCTCCAGCCCTTTGAGACCCAGACCTATTCCTGAGCAGAAGATGTTTACTGGGATAGCATTTATAGACAGATATGGCCGCTGAACCACACTGCTCCAGCCCTTTGAGACCCAGACCTATTCCTGAGCAGAAGATGTTTACTGGGATAGCATTTATAGACAGATATGGCCACTGAACCACACTGCTCCAGTCCTTTGAGACCGAGACCTATTCCTGAGCAGAAGATGTTTACTGGGATAGCATTTATAGACAGATATGGAATTTTTTGAGTAAACCAAAGGTACAAGTTTGTGGTTGTCATGGCTTAAAGGGGCTCTAATTTACAGAAACTTGCTAGGCCTTTGGCTACCACACTGTTGGTCGATGCGTCCCAGTCTGCTTTGTTTTGTTTTAAATCTACATCACACCATTCTGTTTTTTGGTTTTGTTTTCTTTCTTCCTCAAATTCCCTGATTCTTAACAGATAGTAGCAGAAGACAGTTGGAGGGTTTGTGTTTCTGCTTGAGCAATTTCTTTCTCTTGATGCCTTGTCATTCTTCTGTTGTTTCCTGTGATCTGGTACCAAAAAGCAGCAGGAAGAAACTAGGGCCTTGAGCTTTTTCAGAGAGAAGCGTTTACAAGATGCACACACACTTCTCGTAGTCTGGTGATTCTCACTGCACTTCTTCTGTGGGTAACGATGAACTCCTGGGGCCTTAATTTAAATGCTTGTTCTTAAGAAGAGAAAGTGTGAGTTGAGAATGTTGGGGTGTGAGTTTTGAGAGTAGAAGATGTGAGGGAGTCATAGAGAAAAAGTGTACTCTTTCCTCTATTTTGTGGATTCTATGGTGTGCAAATCATTGAGTTGACTCTTACACAGCTGGTTAAAGATAGTGGTTTGTTCTCAGATGAGCACACAGCGAGCTTGTCTGTGAAAGTCACACCTAAAATCTCAGACGTGGGGCTGGGAGCTGAGTCTGAAGAACACAGAGGCAGCAATGGGGAAATGCTCTGCTTGCTCACCTCAGCCACCAGGTCTCCTTGAGACTTTGGCAGGTCTAGCATCAAGCAGTCATTAAAATAAACAAGTAGTAATGAAAAATTTTTTGAGGCTGGGAATGAGGCTCAGCTTATGGTACGCTTGCCTAGCATTAAAGAAGCCTTGGGTTCAATTGTTAGTATCACTTAACCAAGATGTGGCAGCACATGCCACAGTGTAATCTCAGTACTGGGGAGTGAAGACAGGAGGATCAGGGGTTCAAGGTTATTCTCAGATACACAGAATTCTGAGTCCATTCCAGCTCAAAAGTAAATGAGAAAGAGAATAAAAATAAAGCAAAATTAAGCAATGTCTTCTCTCTCTCTCTCTCTCTCTCTCTCTCTCTCTCTCTCTCTCTCTCTCTCTCGTGTGTGTGTGTGTGTGTGTGTGTGTGTGTGTGTATGCCACAGTGCATTTGTGAAGGTCAAAGGATAACACTGGAGTTGGTTCTGTTCTCTCCCTCTATCTTTATGTAGTTTCTGGGGACTGTAATACGGTCTTCAGGCTTGTATGGCAAATATCTTTATCTACTCAGCCATGTTGCTCCTCCCATCATCAAAAAATTTTGATGACATGAAAAAAAGCTCGTGTCGTTATAATATCAAGTGGAAAAAAATAATACAGACATGACTAAGGAAATTAGCCAATAAAATTGACACTGCCTGGCAGAGAGTTTAAGCCTAGTTCCGTCTGTTGTCAGAACCTAAGTCTTAACAGCTTCATGTGATGGAAAAACAGCATCACAATTTAAATGACATTTCTTCAATTTTTTCCCCAGATATCTGATGAATCATTGAACAGAATCAAGGATAGCTACCATTCACTCATTGTCATAACCCATGTCTTCAAACCTTTCTTGCTCTTAAGGATCTTATCTTATTATGTAAATCAGATTGATTCACCAAGAAGGCTTGAGAGGGGCGGGGGAGGAGAATGCATGTAGTTTAATGTTTGGTAGGAGGGGAGATGGAACTGCTAACTTTGAAAAAAAAATGCATGTCGTTTTATCTTTTTTCCTGTTTGCAATGTTTTCTTCCCCTTCCTGGAGTCTTTTGCCCTGGGGTAGGAAATTCTTACCACAGATTTTTTTTTTGTCTTTCTTCCGTTCAACTGCAATCTAAGTGGTGCATATTAACTAGTAACGTTACACAGAATTTTTCTGAAAAGTCAGAATCTCAGATGCGTGACAACTGAAAGGTGAATATCTGTGTTTCCAATAACCTCTAACTCTTCAAAAGTCGGAGAGAATGGAAATTCTGTATTGCACCTCCAACAGAGGTTGGTGACTGAATGTCCACTGATCTGGCAAAAATGGATTCTGTGGTTGTAATTAAATTAAGGGTCTTCAGATGGAGAGACAATCCTGGATCACCTGAGCAGGGCCAAATCAGTCACATGGGATTCTCTTAAGAAAGAGGCAGAAGGGAGGTCATGGTCAGGGTGAATCAGGTACCACACACAGAGCAAAGGCCAGAGTGATGTATCCACTGGCCAGAAAGCGGAGGCATCTTCTAGGTGCTGGGGAAAGTTGAGCCCCCAGAAGAAGTAAAGTCCGACGATGCCTTGATTTTAACCCCAGACAATGCCTTTCAGTCTGACTTCCAGGTACCGCGTTTGTGTTGTGTTACGCCATCAATTTTGGGATTGCTAGAGTAATAACAGAAAAGTGATACACTTACATGTTCCCAGCATTATGTATGGACTTCCGGACTAGATAGTAATTTTGCCAAAGCATTTCCAAGGAGAAATACTTATTCCTCATTTAAACACCGAAGAAGGTTGTACAGTTTTTTTTTTTTATTACCCCCACTTGGAGAACTTTTCAGAAGTCAATTGTGATTGGGACATTTACAAGCATAGGCCCCAAGTAGATCAATACCCTCCTTTGTTTTCAATGGAGAAATCCATCTGTCTCAGGCATGTTCAGGGCTTTACTGTACAGTTTATCTGTGGGCAGCAGATGAGGAGAACCAATGAGCTGGAAGACAACTCGCTCAATCTGCTTCCTCTGCAAAGCTTCGGGGCATTGCACAGGAAACCTGCTGCTGTGTCAAGTCCCAGAGAAGTTTCTTCTCGTCCAAGTTACTAATCACACTGAAACGCGAGTCCAAGGAAAGGTCAGGGAGAAAAGAGTGCTCGCTGCTGCTGCTGCTTAAGAGGTGCTACCACGCAGAAGCCAACGGGAGAGCAGAGGGGGCCTGGCCATGGTCACTGCTGCACCTGTGAGGAGAAAAACCACCGAGTGAGCAGCAGAAATCAGAAACCAGAAATGTCCTGCTTTTGGAGAACTTCTGACCTAGTCGTGCTCTTGATATGGGGGGTCTTTGTGGCTGGTGAGTCTGAATTTTCTTCTGGAGAATGACTAGGGATGGGAGACCTGCTCTGTGCTGTTTTTGAGCCTTCCCTTTTCGCCAGGCAATGCAAACCGGTCGCTGCTGTTGAGATGTGGGCAAGGGTCCTCTAGATATGAGTCATCTCTTATTTTCTGGTTTGTCTTGTTTATTTTGCTTCGTGTCCTACAATCTATGTGTTTCTGTAATTTCCTCTACTGCCATGTCCTCATCTTCCCTTCCCTTTTAGGACAAGGCAGAATAAATTAAACACGTATTCATAGCAATCAAAGTGACATGGGTCCCCTGTATTTTCTCCGTCTTGGAAAAACATCTAAATGACTGTTAGTCTCCCATATCCCAGCTAGGTCTCCCTGGCCAACAGTGTAAGTTAGGACTATTTGTTTCTTTCTATCACTCTCCGTGACTGTGGATTTTATGCATCTGTGATGTATGTCTGTATTTATCTTGAAGACGTGTGGGCTACAGGAGACACTTTCTGAATCAGAAAGTGCACTCCTCAATGTCTGCGTTCTTGTAGGAGCTGAATAGAATTTGGGGCTGCTGTGGGGGTGTCCTGGTTTCACTGTAGAAGGTAGGTAGGAGTTGATGTGGGAGGGCATTTTCGTGTTTCACTTTTAGTAGATGGAGAAGCTGCAAGGGAACAACGTACTTAGCTCTAAATTTTATAATTGAAAAATTTAAAGGAGAAATGGCATTTTTTCCTCTCATCAGAATTCCCTTAAAATCATTTCTGTCTATCTTTCTCGGAAAGAGTATCTCATGATAACTTTGTTGGTGAGCACACATAAAATAACTATGGTCTACCACTGCACCTCTCTGCTGAGAATTTTCACATATCTTTTTTCTTTGATGTGCATGGCAACCCAGTGAGGTAGGCATGGAACACAGCTCCATTTTACAAAGACAGAACTTGAAGCTTAGAGAGGTGAAATGATTTGTCCCTGGTTATAAAGGGTACCCCAAAACACTTGCAGGAACAGTTTACCCATATGCTTTCCACTAGAGAGAACCACCCATTGTAGCTCTGCTGGAAAATGCTAAGCTAAAATTGGGCTATAAATTAATTGAAAAAAAGAGAAAGAGATCTATATCTTTCAGTAGTTGGGCTTCTCTAGAAAGCTCCTAAAATCTGTGCAGGATGAATTTGACAGGAAAAGTCAGGCAAACAAGGAGCTGTTTGTGTCAGGTTCCATATAAACTTAGCAAAGCAGACAGAAAAGCAATAAATGGAAACATAACAGATAATTTGAATTTTCAAGGCTGAAAGGTTAATCTTTAAAACTTCCTCTGAACACAAGTTGGAGTCGCTATGTTCACCAAATCCCTGAAGTTCATGCTTGCATCACAAAATCATTAAGCGTTAAGAATACAAATAAGCAAATTACTTTATACACATGACCTGGCATGATAAGTTTGCTGAGAAATCATTGAGAATGGTGATCTGAAAACCAACCAGTGCTGCAACTTTATGGCTTTGTTACTGGTGTTGCAGACAGGAACAGCAAGTTCACTCTGTGTAAAATCCATCACATAGGCGAGGGAGGTACTTTAAACTGAAAACTACGAGATATTTATCTAATACAATAATCGAGGGGGAAGTTAAAAAGAATCTAAACTCTCCATCTCATTTTCATAGACCATGCCATTTCTTTCTACTCGATTTTGTCCCATTGACCTCTAAGTTTTCTTATGTTCAAGTTTTATGTCCATACTTAAATCAACACACTTTTTTTTTGTTTGTTTGAAGTTACTGGTTTTGCCAATGTGAATTTCAAGGCAAAAAAAAAAAAAAAAAAAAAGAACCAATCCTCCAGTGTTTTCTTTCTTTTCATAGTTTTTACTAATTTTCCTTATCTTCCACTAGGGGGCAGGTAGTAACAGGAGGAGACACAAAAATATAGTTTAAGAGATTAAAAGCAACATCTAAAAAGCAATGAATTGTCCTCACCAACTTCAGTCCTATCTCCTTTTTTTATTTTGTATGTTGGCCTACTAGTTTAATATATAGGAGTCTTTTTCTCTGGACATTCATGTTTAATATTCTGGTAAATAAAAATGCTAAGAGCTCTCTCTGTCTCTCTCTCTCTGTTTCTCTTTCTCTCTTTGTGTGTGTGTGTGTGTACACGCGCGCGCATGTGTGGTATGTACAAGAATACTGACTAAAAGTTTCCAGCAATTTAAATGAGGGAGATAAAAATACAATTAAATCCTTAAGGAACATTTAAAATCAGAAAATACTAAATTAAAAAGGAGGAAAGGTAAAATCATAGGGTATTGACAGTGTTAACAGAGGAGCTGGGTCTTGAATTGGGCCTTGACTGACAGCTTTGGGTAGAAAGGAAAAGTTAGAGAAGAAATTGGGAGGAGGGACGTGTAACAGGAGCAGAGGTCAGGAGGTCTGTGAGACAACGGGATCTAGCTTGCAGGAACAGTGTGTCATATAATAATAATTAAAAAGGCTGCATTCCAAGGGTCTTTAATGGATAAATAGGCTATCTGGATATTGTACAGTTAATGGTGAGGTCATCTGTTAGCTTATGAAGAGAAACAATAATCTAAGGCAGTAGATTTGGAGAATAATGTGGCGGCAGCATCCTGTTGCGTGGCAGTGGCACTTAGCAAAGTATTCCCTCAGAAGCAGGAATAGAGAGCTTCTGAGCAGGGAGGGGTTCTTGTGATAGGTGTTCCGTGCTACTCACTGGCAACTGAGACGGGAATAGTAGAGGAAGGACATGAATGCTGAACATTCCTGTGCATATTGGGGAGTATATAAGAATTCAGCATTTGGAACCATATGTGGAGCAGATGTTTCCCTCAAAGCCAGTACAGAGAGATTGTAATGATAGAGGAAACACCAGAAATGCATGCATTCAGGCCTGGGGAGCCATAACAATCTCTTTCCCTCCCCATAACAGTTTAATAAGAGACGGGAAAGGAGACAATATAACCAGCAGATTATGTGCTTAGCCTTAACTAGGAAGAAATATATGCTCTGAGATTGAGAAATGGGTTGAAACCGATGTTAGATACAGGAAGGCTGGGCAGCCCAGAATGGCAGGGATAAAAGTCACTCACCATAGGTAAACTACTTCTCAGTGAGACCATGGGAATTTCAGCTGATGATGCTCCTGAACAAAACTATCCAGTGGTCATTTGGTTTTATATCATGTCTGAAGAATTAATCTATGCAGTCGTTAAAATGTTATCAGTGACGATGTGATTTTGGCTCTTCTCCCTTGGCATCACTGACTTCCAATTTCTAGCTCCTGACTGGGTTTAGGGAACAGGACCGTGGGTGTCATGTAGCTTTGGATTGTGTGACAGTAATGTTTCCTAAGAAGTAATCACCACTCAGCACTTTAAGAAATGATACACATCACAAGTACATGAAATTTTTATCAAAGTTGGTTATAATCTACTCATTTTCCCCAAGAACTTATATCATTCATACCTTAACACTAAACAGAGAATTTCAAGGTTTTCATACCTAGAATTTAAATGCATTGCGTGTCTGAAAGCCTAGGCACCATTCTGAGAACACAATCTTATTTTTTTCCCACCTGCCCTGCCCTGCAATCTTTTTTGTTTGAGGAAAGTACCATAGAAAAGTTGCAGCATTGAGGTACACCTGGCAGCTCTTCTGTTTGTAGTAAGTAATTTTCTTTAAGCATCTCTGATGCTCCGAACTGTTGATGCTGAGCAGGTTTGCATGGAGTTAGACTTAGACTGGGTTTGGTGTATAGAATGTTCCTGCATCCCAACCATCACTTTCATCTGACCCAGTGGGTGGGGTAGGGGCACTACTGAGCTAGCTGACCTTTGAGAGATTCCGCATTGATTAGAGCGCTAGCCCTTTACACTTCCACCTTATTCAGTGATAGGGTGGGCTGCCCTGGGAAGGGATTGATTTTGAGCAAGGAAGAAAGCCACCTTTGAAGTTCCAGAAAACAGAAGACTGTCTACTGGCAGCACTCTTGGCTGGAGCAAGGGGCTGTTCCTGAAGGGGATTCTGGATGGCACATTCTAGATATGCCCCATAGTTTCCGCCTCCTATAATCTTCATTCCTTTGTGAAATTCTGAGTCTCTATCTGGTCTTATATCTCCAATCAATTTATATCTTTAGTTTTTATTTCTTTTTTTACTGTTAAGTTCTCTCAGTGTTCTTTTGTATGAAAAGAATTATTACTGATTTTATGTCTGAAACCTTTATCTTACATTCATTATCAAAGCGTGTTGTTTGTTGGAGGAGTGTAGAATTCTGGGTAGAGATTGATTCCCCCCCCCTTTTAGAACCTGAAAAACTCTAATAAGAAGTCAGCCTACCACTCACATTGTTTCTCTAAATTTAATCTCCCATCTTCTAGGAATGTTTTCAACATTACATCCTATTGCTGGGGTTTGCCACATTTAATCTGTCTAACTGTGGTATTTTCATCTGTAAGGGATTACTCAATTTTTTTTAGATAGTATTTCCTCACTTATGAAACAAGTAGTTACGACACTATTATTAAGAGATACAGTCTTTTCAGACAGGAGGGACTCAAAACATCTCTATATTAAATTCTTTCACTTTGTATGTGGATCAATGAAAACTAGCCATGTTCAAGGAACTGCTGACCACCTTACCTCACCTTTCAGTGGACAAAGTTGACTTGGAACAGCTCTCCAGTACGGACAACAGAAGGGAAAGAGTTGTGGCAAGAGTGTATGTATAGCAGCCCATAGTTTTAGATATGATACACTGGAAATGACAGTGACATTCAAGAGAGAAACAATACAGCTAAAGGTTTGGGATTATTGTTTAGGAAAAATAAGTCACAGCTAAAATGAAGTTTGGCCATTTGGTTAGCCAGTATATAAGGGAATGTTCTGCCTTGTGTCTGCCACTGCTTTGTACTGTGGGTATTTGATGAAGAAAGATGTGGAGGGGCTGGGCATGTAGCTCGGGGCCAGAGCATTGCTCCACCATGTATAAGGC